CACTCACACCCCCCACTCACACCACACACACACCCATACCCCCATCACACGCCCTCACACTCAGCCCCCCACCTGCCGCCAGCTCCTCCAGCCGCTGCTGCACCTCCACCACCTTCCGCAGCTTGTGCTCCTCATTCTTCACAGCCCCCTCAAGCTCAGAGCGCGCGCGGCTGTCCGCGGCCGCCGCCGCCTCCGACGCCACCGACTTGGCCTTCGCAGCCTGCTTCTCGGCAGCGGCCGCCACCGCCGCGCGCGCAGATGCCAGGACCTGCTCGAGCCAAGCGATCAGGATGGACGGGTGGAAATGAGGGCCGGGGCGCGTCCGACCGCGGGCGGGGCGCGGCTGCCGCTGCTGCTGCTCGGCCGCCGCAACCGCTACCGCCGCCCGTGTTGCGCGCCCGCCCTGCCAGTTCGGCCAGCCTTTTGGAAATCGCCCCGTAGGCCGGTCCGCCGCGCCAAGGTCAGGCCGGCGCAAGGCCGCCTGGTGTGCAAGATTCAAAAAACCGCCCGGCTGTCGCGCCCGCCGGCGTCCGGCTGGCTGCGACCAAACATCGCCGATCAGGTGCCGCCGTCGCCCGCCGGCCCGGCGGCGGCGCGCCGGCTGCCTCAGCATATGTGTCTAGCTGCCAGATCCCAACGCGTCGCTGCCTGCGGGCGCAGCGCACCCCCACCCCCCTCTGTGGCGACCGCACGCCCCGCGCACCTCGCCCGCGTCGGCCGCCGCCTGCCTGAACCGCTGCAGCAGGTAGTTGCGCCGCGCCCTGAGGATGATCTTGTCATCCACGTCGGTCACGTTCATGACGGACAGGACGTTGTAGCCAAAGTAGTCCTCGAGGACGCGCCGCAGGATGTCAAATGTGACGTAGTTGCGCGCGTGCCCCAGGTGGGCGCTGTCGTACACCGTGGGGCCGCAGCCGTACCAGGACACCTGCTTGCTGCCCGGGCCGCCCGCGGGGACGAACGGGACCTTGGCGTCGGCGAGGCTGTTGTAAAGCATCAAGGTGCCGGGCGGGGGCGGCGCCGCCGCCGCTTCGTCCGCGCCGCCGGGCTGCGTCCAGCGCGCTGCTGCGGCTGGCGTGGCTGCCGTCGCGGTCGCCATGCTGCTGAGAAGCTTGAAATCGGCGTTTCTATGTGATGAAGTTGCAATCAGGTGCTGTAGCGCGCGCTAAAATGGAGCAGGCACTTCCACGAGATCGAACTACAGCGAGTGCGGCAGCGTGCTGCTCGCACCGCCTTTGCTCCTATGAAAGCACGCAAGCAATTCAGAGCACGCATGTACGCTGAAAGAGCGCGTCACATCAGTTGGAATTGAGTGGGTTGCCTCTCTCGGTGAGTCAGGAAAGGCGCTAACTTGTGAGGATGTGATCAGTTGATGAAGATTAACACTGTTAATTCCGGCCCAACCCGCGGTGCCTTGGAGCGGCACCGAGGGGGGGTGCTGCACATGAAACGCCTCGACCGTCCTGCATTAGTACGGCCGCTGCATTGGACTCATGGCATGGCTGGCCCATCCCGCCCCCTGCCAGCCGACTTCTTTGACGACATGCAGTAATTGAAATCACAATTGACTCCTGGGAGCTGTTTGAAGCTCCCAGGCTGGGATGGCGACGGCGCTGAGATCGCGCCGCAACCTTGTGGGCCTGTCCTGGGTGGCTCGAGCTGCACATGGGTGGTTGATTCAGCCACCAAGGCCCACCACGATCCATTGTTACTCGGACACCAACTCTACAACGATCATGACGCGCAGGAATCGATTGCGCAACTCTGAATTTCAGTGCATGAGGCCGAGAACAGGGAGAGGGGTGGGCGCAATGGCCGGCGCCCGACCGCCCGCATGCAGCAGTGTGAAACTCCCGCATACAAGGACAAGCGTGAAGGCCAGGGCAGCCTCAAAAGAACAAGACAGTTTGGGCGATGCAAATTCAATGAGGCCCGCGCATGCCGAGCAGCACAGCACAGCAGCTTCGCAGCAGCTGCACCGTGCGGCGGGCGCCCTCACGACCTGCTGACAGCAGGCCCCGCGCCGGCCTCTCCGCTCCCGAGCCCGCCGCCCTGCCAAAAAAATCCGTTCCAACCCACACTGACAACAATCCAAATCTAGACACCTCCGGCCCAGCCCGCCCACGTCCGCACAGCCGCGACGCCCCGGCCGCCGCTCGCCGCCGCCCGGCCG